CATATTTTAAATTATTAGCATTTTCAGCACCATCCATATCCAAATGCAGCCTTAGTCCATTAATTTCATCCTTCATGAATCCTAGACGTACATCGCACAAACTTAAATTATCTTCATCTTCATTGGAATCTTAGTTCTTTCTTTTATGTTATCCTCTTTGTTTCGTACTAAAACCTAAAATCTCTCACAAACTTTGACAACTGCTCCTAGCTGTTATTGCTTAATCAAAAGCAACCCCGCCGTTGGATCAAGAGTCAATTGCAGAAGCCCTTTTAGTTGTTTGTTCCCATGCAATCATGGTCCCGAAAAACCCACTTTATCAGGGACCTGATGCTGGGGTGCATCATGTTCCTTGTGGCCTGAAAAAGCGTAGGAGAGCAATGGTAGGACCTCGTTGTCCTTCCCTCCAAGCGAGGCACTAAGACAACCCAGATGGACTGCACTCTTTACGAGATTTGATTGTTTGACCATAATCCACTCTCATCATTCGTCATGCTGAGGGCCACTCCAGATTCTTATGAATTTATCAACCTGGATGCCATGCCATTTTCAATGCCCACGTGCGGATCTATCCGTTGAAATAAAATAATTATAAATACTTCAAAATTAAAAAATCAAAAATTTTTTTTGAATATCTTAAAATTTTTCATAATCACTTAAAAATAAAAAAAATAAAAAAATTCTGAATACCTCTAAAATTTTCTCATATGTATCTTGTATATCAATAAAATTAATAAATCTATTAATAATTTTTATACATATTATAAATAAATATTTCAAAAAGAATTTAGATCCATCACTATCGATGCCAATGCCATCCTCCCCTCCCCACCTCATGAAATTTGCTTGATTCTGTATATAATTTGGTACATGGCTAAAGCTATAAAGGCCAACAGGTTTCAATTTAAAATTTGAAGTTTTTCACTAAATATCTGCTTTTGGACATTCCTCAATGGATCCCTCGTTTTATTTTTAAGTTCACCTTTGAAGCTAAACAAAGATAAGATCATATTGTTCCTGTCTTTTGTAATAGGGTGTTCGTGTAGCAATCTTGTTTACAAATCCGAATATCAAAAGATTTTGAGTTTTCAAAAGGTAAAGGAGGAGAAAAAGAAAAGAAAAGAAAGACTCTAGATTTTAATTTTAAAGTGACAAAAATTGAACTTTTAATTATATGAGATAGATGAATTAATATGTCTTTTGCTGAACTTTAGGCTGATCTTTTAAAAGAAAATAAAGAACATAAAAACAATCAGGTTTGTATGAACGGATTCAAGATGTTGTGTGGCGGTATCGTGAAGCTGAAGCTTGATTTTTCACCTGTCTTTGTTGGTAGATAATTACTTCTATAAAGAGGAATAATTTTGAAGCAACGTGTGCTAATTAACTGAATTTAGCAATAAAACCTGTTTTTTTTTTTAATCAAATTCACTTAAAAGTTTATATTAACAATTTAATTGAAAATTTGCGTTATATAATATTTCTTATTTTATTTAAACTTCAATAATAATAATAATAATTGAATTAAAAGTTTCATTATATATATCAATTTATTTTTAGTATGAATTTGCAATATTGAAAGTTTATGATAAAATAAAAAAAAATCTTAACTTACGTTATCAATTTGAAGCAAAAACATTAAAATAATTGGTATCTCAAAAAGTTTTTAATCTAAATTCAAAGCGGCAAATTGACCCATCAACTTTAGTTTGACTATGAAAGCTTGAAAATTAACAAAAAAAAAAATGAAACAATAATATAATATAAAAATAATAATAAATATAATTTAAAATTTTAATAAAATTATATATATTAAAAAAATTAAAAAAATATATTTATAATTAACATATTAATTTTTTATTTTACACATTTTTAATATAATATAAATATGATATAAATATATAAATTATAATCTACCTGAAACCTTCATTTTCTTGTTGGAAATTAAAGGGGAAGAGGAAAGAAAAAAAAGGACATTAGGGTATCATCGGAAGATCATCGTTTCTAACGCTAAAACTTGGAACCTAAAGGAAAATTAATGATGATTTTTTAGAGTGGGCCATGGCGAACTGATCCACAGCCCTTGCTTCGAGGAACTGCCAGATGTACGGTAAAACGTGGGCAAATAGGGCACTTTATTCACCTGGCGGTTTTTTGAGCCCTCCTGGCGACGCGTGATCCTCAGGCTACTTACTGTTGGCTGCCCAAAGCATCCGACGTTCGGCTAAGGCATTAAGTGTTGCATTCAATATTTGTCTGGTTTTTTAATCCAAGAAGCAAAGCCGCCTCACCAGGGAATTTTCATTTGAACTGCGTATCTTGATAAAGTATGCATTCTATCTCTCTATCTTGTAATTGTAGGTTGCACTTAATTTTCGCGGACAGGGGTTAACTTGATGATGAATTTAGTTAGCAAAATTTTACCTAATCAAATATATTTGTTCGGCCTATTCAAATTTAAATTAGGCTAATTTTATTTGATAAAAAATCAATAATTTCATTTCTTCATCTAAATTTGACATGATTTTAAATTCAAATTATTCAAAATTAAATAAAGTATAATTTAATTTTTATAAAATATTAATATAATTAAAAATAATAAATATAAGTACATAATATAAATTGATATAAAAAAGTATTTAAGTTAATTACTTCTAGTATTTTTAGAGTTTATATTTTTACATATACAGATAAAAGATATATATGCATATGTTTTAAATGAATTTTAATACATATTACTTTAGATTATGTTCTGAAGGAGCAATTTTATTCTGAAGTTTATTGAAGGCTGAACTTTTTGTTGCACATTAATGGTATCGAATTTGCAATTTTTCTTTTATGTTGAAATTCTGACAGACATTGGATATTTGTTGTACTAATCTATTATTATAGATTTATAGTATTTTTAATTCTTAATTTTTTGAATAATATATTACAATATTTTATACGTAGTATTTTTAATGAATCCAAAAATATCTAAAAGGATATATAATCAATTTTTTTGGAAATTTAAGTTAGTATTTCTAGCAATTCATTGAAGAAACTTTTAAGTCTTAATTTAATCCTCTCTCAGACATTTAAGTTAATTGAAGCAAAACATTCAAGCACTTGACTTAACAATTAATATACATAATTTTCTTATTCAAAAAGTAAAATTCAATTTTTTTGTCCAATAAAAAAAAGTCAATTCAATTAAATTCTCTCTTAATCTTTTTATTATAATGAATTACAAAACATAAAGTAACCCAAAATATTATGAACTTGAAATGATTCGAACTTAAACTAATTCAAATTAAAAGTAACTTTTAAATGAATTGAATTTATTTTGATCTAAACCTGAAATAATTTTATTTTTTTCTTAATCTAAAATTACCAACTTAAAATAATCTAATTCAAACCTAACTCAATTCTACGATTTTGCTACCTCTACATTGAAGCAATCATTGGAGACAACTCAAAATAATCAAATTTCTATCCAAAAAAATAATAAAACAAATCACGCCTTTGGGTATGACTTGGTAGCGTGGTTTAATATAAGACAATGATAATTCAGTCTTGAGATTATATCAACAAATCGCTCAACCCAAAACTTGTTGGTTAAACCGGGATTTGATGTCAAATTTATTGTTTTGTTATTTTTGCATTTCAATGAAAACTATAATTTTAATTAGATCATTAAATTTTTATTTATTTCGTTAAAATCATTGAAGTTTACATATATTAGATTTGATCATTTGATAAATTTCATTCAAATTAATTGATAGAAAAATGATATACCTAACGTGTCAATGTCAAACCTCTATCAATTAACTAATTAAATACTTATAATTTATAAAAAAAATTTTCATTTTGATTTTTTTCTCTCTCTCACTACCCTTTTCCCTAAAGAGAATCACACGAAATGCAGTTTTAGAAGAAAATAGCAATTGGGTTTCTAATTGGATCTACATTAATCAAACTCTTTTTATCAGAATCCAACTCAAAGAAGGAAAAAAAATAGATTAAATAGAGTTTGAAAATAAAATTTGATAATGAAAGGACGTCGGACAAGCGACGAAGGATAGCGGATCATCGAGTGGTGGAAGATGGTGGCCTACGGTGGTGGCTAGATTTTCTTTTGGAAGAGAGTAGTGAGAGAGTGAAACCTCAGAGAGAGAGAGAAAATCACAATGAAATTTTTTTTTCTCATATTATAGGTATTTAATTAATTGATGGTACAAATGATGTTATATTGACATAATAATCATGTCATTTTTTATCAATTAATTAGATAAAATTTATCAAATGATCAAATCTAATATATCTAACAAATTTCAATAATTTAAAAAAACAAATTAAAATCAATGATTTGTATGAAATTACGGTCATAATTCAAAGATGATAGGTAAAATTTACTCAAATTAGTCTGAGGGTATAGAGTCGTATTATATATAAGGGTGTAAATGATACATTAATATTCGTAAGTTATTCAGGTTCGATTCGAATAAAATTTGAATTCGGTTCGATTATTATCAAGTCGAGTTCGAGCTCAAGTAATTAGACTCATCGATCGAGTCAAGTTCGAATATTCTTATGCCTGACTCGAGTAACTCACGAGCTTAATAGAGCTTTTATATTTAAATATATTTTTATTATTTTAATTAATAAAATATTTCGAATTCGAGTTTAAGCTCGAGTATAAATAATCTAACTCTTGTCAGTTATACAAATCGAACTTATTTTTATATATTAATTGAGCTTAATCAAACGAGTTTGAATAACTCGATTTTGATCACGAATCGAATTCGAGTTAAAAAAATAAAACTCATCGAATTCAAATCGAGTATCAAATCGAGAATTAAAAATCGAATTTGATCTTGAATTTAAATTCGAACTTTTTACTATATTAACTTATTTAATAATAAAATATTAAAAAAGTCCACATACGTCGAAGATTTTTTTGTTGCCGTCGGATTAGACCCTTAATTATACATTTAGCCATTAGGAGGGAGGCACGTGACAAGGTGGAGTGGGGTCAGCAGAATCGATCCTTTGCTTGCAGGAGGAGAGTGAGTGGGGCCCCCACTGGTTTTTGGGCCCGTAACTGGAGTATGCACTTTCGGTATGCCCTTCTCTTCTTTATCGAAAAACCCACAAAATTTTTATTCTCTCCTCTCCTCTTGTGGGTTGGTCAGGTCAAACACGAGTCTGTGCTTTTAGTGTGACGCCTACGCCTGTATTTTTTACGTACTCTAACCAATGATCCCACGGCTCAGGTTGTCCCAACAGGACGGCCATGGTGACATCACGGCCCTTGAATTTTCTAGCTGAGTGTTAGTCAAGGTGCTAATAAGCGGGCCCCGTGTCCTTAGATTGGACAGCATTGTGGTGGCCCATAAAATATATTGTTTTAGCTCACCGACCCCTTGGAATGGAATGGACTCTGTCTGTGTACTCATGCCTTTTTCTTCCTTCTTATTCACAGCCTCCTTTCCTTGGCTGACAAACCATTCCATTTCTGATTTCCCCCAACAGTCTCTTCTCTCTTCTTCTACCTATGTGCTCTCTCTCCCTTTTTCTATAGGTTTGGGTGGCATATTTAGAATTGAATGAAGTGTTAGTGAAGAGAAAGAGTGAGCAGATATCATTTTTTCCTTTGCACATTTGGTTATTCTGTCTCTGTTGGGTACTTTTTTTGTTTAATGGGTCTTGCTTCTCTCCAAGTTTGCTTGGATTCATCTGACTGGCTGCAGGTATGCCTGTTCCATGCATTTTCAAAGCTATATTAAGTCTTATTATAAGGTAGCTATATTAAGTCTTATTATAAGGTATCTTTCTTTCTCTTCATCATCGTTATGCTTAGGGAGATATTTAGCTCCAATGACAATGACTCCATGCATTTGAAACAATGTTAATTACAGGAATTTGATTTGTGTTTGAACGCTGAAATGGCATGAAAGATTTTGGACTAATATGAAAGAAAGAAGCAGCAAGAAGAATGTGCGGGGAAGTAATGAAAACACATTATTGTACTTCTCTGATATACTAGTAATATAGTTAGTATTTTTTGCATTCAGATAATCAAGACGGATATAAGAAAAGGATAAAGGAATATCTAGTCATTGCATTATCTGCTGCCTGAAAAAGGACAAAGAATGTCTAGTGGCTGTTAACATTATAAATTACCGGTTTGAAAATTGAATTAACAATTCTGACGCATTTTCCACTACTTGCTTGTTTTCCATGTTTAGGGAACGATTCACGAGGTGTCTGGAATGGATTCTTCATCCCCATCTGGGAATATGCTCACATGCTCAAGGCCATTGATAGAAAGGAGTCTAAGACCCCAACACGATCAAACTCTCAAGTGCCCCAGGTGTCATTCCACGCACACCAAATTTTGCTATTATAACAATTACAGTCTCTCCCAGCCGAGGTACTTTTGCAAGACTTGTAGGAGGTACTGGACCAAAGGAGGGACGCTAAGGAACATTCCTGTTGGTGGAGGCTGTAGAAAGAACAAGAAAGTTGCTACTAAAAAATCAAATGATCGATCAGCCAACAACAAGCCTGGATCATCTTCTCATAATCCCACTGATCTTAACCTTTCATTTCCTGAAATGCAGCTTTCTCACCTTAATAACATTCTTGGTACTCATGGAACTAATACTAACTTCACGGAGAGCAAATACAATTCTCTGCTTGAAAATCCAAGGCAGATTGATTTCATGGAGAGTAAGCTTGAAACCATAGTTGGGAGCTCTAGGAACTATGATTTTATGGGGAATGGTGAGTTGGGAATGGTTGGGGGACTTGGGGATATGGGTCATGGGCTAGCACCAAATCTCCATGTCCTTTGCTCTCCATATGGGGTGTCCCTTGATGTTGATGGCAATTGTGGTACTTTCATGGACACCTGCCACAGGCTAATGCTTCCTTATGAAGCAAACGAAGATCAACAAGCAATCGATGTGAAGCCAAACACAAAACTCTTGTCCCTTGATTGGCAAGACCAAGGATGTTCTGACGCTGGGAAAGACAATTACGGATACTTGAACAACTGGGAATCATGGACTGGAATGATGAATATTTATGGACCGGAATGATGAATAGTTATGGACCCTCCACGACAAATCCATTAGTCTGAAGCAATCTGTAATCAACTACTACATAAAAATAATCCTGGTGGCAGCCTGTGTTGTGAATGAGAAAGTTGAAGGAGTTCCTAAAATGGCCACCATAGTGCACAAATGTTCTTTTTTTTTTTTTTTTTCTTTTCGATTGGTTGTCTCTGGCGAAAGACATTCAATGCTCTAGGATTTTCCTGTTACACCAAGAAAGATATAAAGTGCTTTTGCCAGTTTTTGTTCTTTTAAATTAAATTTATGCTTCTTGTTTTATCTTTTACATAGTGATGTCGGCACTGTGTGATAATGCTAGCATTATTGAGAAATGGTTCGGGGAGTTTTCCCAACATGGAGAAAGGGGAAACTGGGAAGCAGAAAATGCCCCTTCGAATTGCGTGCAGTTTGCATGTGACCCTATTATTCTTTAGTGGCTTCTCCTCCTGCTCTCGTTGACAGGACTACAATAGGAGCATGGCAATTAGCCAAGTAAGCTCTCGATCTCGAGTATCGACTGCTTTCCTTGGGCTTTGTGCTATATGTAGCATATTGGTGTTGATATAGATTAAAAATAACTTAGAAAATGAAATTTAAAGTGTAATTGAACAAATTCAATAAAAACAACAACTCGTGATTATAAATTGATTTGAGCTTAATATACAATTGTTTATGATCGATTATGGGCTTTGGAGGGGAGTCCCGCTCCAAAGACAATTTGGGAAGAATAAGAAGGTCCAAACACTGACTCAAAAAGTGAAATAATAGGAGAACAAGGCAGTTTGGTGCGTAGGTCATTATTATCCATCATTGGATTCGGGGACTTAATAAATGTTAGTTGATTAAACATAATATAGTAATCAATTGAATGAGAAACGAGTGTTTTTGGAGCTATATATTAGTTTTGAAAAGGTTCCAAACTAAGGAAATTGATTTAAGATATTAAAAGAATAGACTGGAAAGGCTTTCAGTTTGAGCATTCAAACGTCCATGCATGAGGATTTGAATCAGAAGCATTTCAAAATAAAAAATAGCTTTCGTGTCAATTTTATGCTATGGCATCTGAATGCTCAACCAATAATATTTGAATGTTATGACTTGAAATGAGGAATTCGGACACTTGACTAACATCATTCGAATATTATGAATGGAAAGTCTTCTAGTATGATTTTATATTAAGACGTTTGAATGCCTTTGGCTCGGTATTCAAATTTCATGACTTGAAAAAGTGTTCTGGAATAAAATTATAAAAGGAGAATTGAATACCCTCCAAGTAGACTTAGTGTTCTAGTAGCACCCGTTGGTTTTTAAAAAATAAATTCTATCTAATTACAAATTTATTTAAAAAGTTCGATTATCAAGTGTAATGAATATAGTAATAAAATTACTTATGAAATTAATTAATTATAGTTGAGACTTAGTTAATTAACTAGGTTTTTATGTCTATGCTTTGCACGGTTAATTTCGTCACAATAAATGTATACATTAAATCGGTAATATAATTTCAAAATTTATACTAACAAAGGTATAATAATTTATTTGTTAAAAAGTATAATAATTTATTTTTCAGTACATGAAATTAAAACATGAAAATTTTAAACTAAACCATTTATGAAAATGTATAATAATTTATTCGAATATTATGAATGGAAAGTCTTCTAATATGATTTTATATTAAGACATTTGAATGCCTTTGGCTCGGTATTCAAATTTCATGACTTGATAAAGTGTTCTAGAACAAAATTATAATAGGAGAATTGAATGCCCTCCAAGCAGACTTAGTGTTCTAGTAGCACCCGTTGGGTTTAGAAAATTAAATTCTATCTTACAAATTTATTTAAAAGGTTTAATTATCAAGTGTAATGAATATATAGTAATAAAATTAATTATGAAATTAATTAATTATAGTTGAGATTTAGTTAATTAATTACTTAATTATGCTTAAGATTTCTAAATTTTAAACATAATGTACAGAACTAAATTAATAAAAACTTCAAAGTAAAGATGCAATTCTTAACACATTAACATACATGATACTTTATTATACTGTATAAATCTTAATATATTAATATATACATATATTTAAATATATATATATATATAAATATATACTTTTCTTTGTAATTCTTTATAGTAAAATAAAGAGTCTTTTCTTTTTTTTTTTTTTAAAGGAGAATTAAGAAAGACAATATAGACTTAGTGTTAAGTAAAATCTTATATTATGGCCATTAGTCAAGCTAATCTAAATCACATGATAAGAGTATAAATTTGAAATTCAAAGCACCACATTTATTTTAAATCAAAAAGAAAAAATAAATGTGTTATTTTTAATTTCAAAATTATTCTAAATAATATCTATAATGATAATGGATTATACAATTTACTCTGTATATCAATAATCTCTTTTATATCCCTTATTTTAAATCATATGATAATAAAATTATACATTTGAAATTAAAAATTGCATTTATTTTAGCTAATATGTATAATTATAACATAGTACTATTTGATAAATTATTTCATCCATTGTTAGTAGAGCTTTTAAACTTTACAAGTGTGGTTAACAGGGTAAGATATATCCTTTAAGGGGCGTTTGGTTCAAAGTAATTTTTCCTCCAAGAATCTTACCTTTTTGTAATTTGATTCCTGATTTGGTTAGCAGGAATGTGATTACTATTTTTTTTTTATAAATTTCCAATAATGTCAAGAAGTGAGAAAGTAGGGGAAATAAAAAACTCTTTTCATCTTGAGATTTTCTAAAATTTTAGAAGGAAAATAAAATTTTTTTCTCAATTTTCCTTAACTTGATTGCATTTTTATATCATATAAACAACGTTATTTACCTTAGAAATGTCGTAATATTTTAGAAAATATTATGAAAATATTTTTTTCTTAATATATTTTAAACAAAGATTACGTTTTTAACAAAATGCTACTAAAATCCTCACAAAAGTTATGATTAAAAACATGATCTTTATTGAAAAGAAAAAAAATTATTTTTCATAATTTAATAAAAATAACGTTTCTAAAATAAAAAACATGATTTTTGTTAAAAATACAAAAAATTTTTTTCGGAATTTAGTAAAGACAACATTTTAAAGATAAAAGAAACATAGTTTTTGTTGAAAAAGATAACATTTCTAAGATAAAAATGTAGTTTTAGTTGTAAACATGAAAAAAATTTTTTTTCAAAATTTAACAAAGACAACATTTCTAAGATAGAAAACACAGTTTTTATTGAAAAGATGATATTTCTAAGATAAAAACATAGTTTATGTTGAAAACATGAAAAAGTATATTTTCTATAATTGAACAAAGAGAACGTCTTTAAGATAGAAATGCAATCTTTTGTTGAAAAGATGATGTTTTTAAGATAAAAATATAGTTTTTGTTGAAAATATAAAACAAAATATTTTTTAAAATTCAATAAAAAGGATGTTTCTAAGATAAAAATACAATCTTTGTTGAAAACATGACAAATTATATTTTGAGAATTCAGTAAAAACAACATTTCTAAGATAAAAACATAATTTTTGTTGAAAAGATGATTTTTGAAAGATAATAAATGCAATCTTTTTTGAAAATATAAAAAATAAAACATAAAATATCTTTACTTAATGTTATTATATATAAAATATAAAATACATTTGCTTAATATTATTTCATATTTGTCAATTTGATTGTTTTCTCTGCATAGTGACAATCAACGTTAGGATAGCAATTAGAATTGTAAGATTATATTTGTTGAAAATATATAAAATTATATTTCATAATTATTTACTTTCAATGAAGACAATGTGCTATTCACATATCACATGTTAACAAAGACAATATAGTAAAAGATTGTTTTAGGTAATTTTACATTCCTGTGAACCAAATACAAAAATCTTACATTCTCTAAGTTAACAAAACTCAAGAATCACACATTCCTCCTTTAATATCACTTTCCCCCTAAATAACTTTCCTTTCAGAATCTAAAAATTCATGAATCAAATGTCCTCTCAGGGCATTTTTTTTTTAAAAAAAAACTAATTAAAAAAGAAACATATCATATGTCAATATTTTAACTACACTTATGAAATTAAAAATTACATTGACGATGTATAAAAAACTAACTCTTATAATTTATTCTAAATCATATGTATACCTATGAGAATTTATAAAATATTTAATTTATTTTAATCATATTTAATCATATTTTTTATGTTATTAATCTATAATATTTTTAAAAAATTATTTTAACATTTTAAAAATTAATTTTAACAATTATTTTAGAAAGTTACTAATGTAATAATAATGTAATAAACCTAATACTCCTTTCATCTCAAATTGTTTGGATTTCTTTGGCTTTCATAAAGTTTTTTAAAAGTTTTGATTTTAATATATTTAATATTAAAATTTAATTTTTTTATTGAACTGAAATTCCATTATTTTTAATATCAAAATATAAAAAATTATGTAAAATAATTTTAAAATGTAAAAAAAAAACTCTTGCATCCCATTTTGTACGTCCTTTATTGATTTCTGGGTCAAATCAACTTAACTTTGACCACTATTTTTAAGAAAATCATAAAACAAAAAAAATTAAAAATGAGATTTGTAAAATTTATGTTTTAAAATTTTCAAAACATATTTGTAAAAATTTTAATTCAATATAATATTTTAAAAAAGGTTAATTTTATAGTGTCTAAACTATAGTAAAATATTCAATATGGTATCTAAACTTTAAAATTCTCTAATGTGTTACTTGAATTTTGAATTTGTTAACTAATATGGTACTTGATAGGGTTGTTTGTGTGTTATATGTTATCATTTAGAGTTAGCCATATTAAGGGTGCATATCACATTGGTTAGTAAATTTATAGTTCATGTACTTCATTAGAGATTTTAAAAGTTAAGGTACCATATTAAATATTTCACTATAGTTTAGATTAATTCATAACATTAACCTTTTAAAAAATAATGGTAAATTTTGAATTATTTTGATAAAAAAATTAATAGATG